ACATGTCGACATTAGGAATACATTGAATAATGGAATATGACTGAAATTGAATTAATTAGTTATACAAGAAATTATAAAAATTAAAATTACATTTGAAATTTTCGTTGATCACTTCTTAAACTGTGGACTGGGTACACAAAAAAGATTGCATTACTTTTTTAATTTCTTTTAATCTTCAAGTTAGTTTTCTCACTTGTAACCAAAAATGGAAAAATGATCTAAAAAAGAAATCAAATTAATGTAACAGTTTTTATTTTTCATCAAATACCAATAGTAATTAATGAAAAAAAGAAAATGTAATTTTCCTTTCAAATAATAGTGCATTTTCAGACATGATAGGAGTGTTTACCTTATTTGTGGTTGACTATAAATTCAGGCTAAATATATTTTTATATTTCAATGGAAAACTTATCAAGATAATTTATTCTTAACTAGTAAATTAATTTCTTTTAATAGCAAATATTATCTCTTGAAATCTGATGATATAGTAAAGAAGAATGCTTTTTCCTAAATTAAATGTATATTTTATATTAGTCTAATGTATTTATTATCTTGATCTTTTTTAAATAAAACTGTAACATTTATTAAATTGATTAATACCAATTTAATAAATCAATTGAGTTGTTTTGACAGATTACAATCTGTACATATTCGCTTAATTTATATTGATATTTATTAATATGGCAATTAACACTGCTAGCAATATGTTTTGATTGATGATTGCCAAAACCAATTTATTTAACAAGATTGATTACTTATCTAATTTTGAAATAAATTTTGTAAATAAGGTTTTAAATTATCTTTTGAATCCAATCCTATAATATTACAAAAATATTATTTCACCTGTTTTCTCTGTATTGTAAGAAAGTTTTTTTTTTTTCCTGATCATTTTAATTTGTCTTTTGCCCTCATTATTTATGATATACTCAATATAAGGGATTCTTAGAAAGTCTGTATTTACAGTTTTTAATAAATGAGTAGAATATATTTCATGTCATATTCCAACAGGATCTTTCTTTTTTCAATGATGTGTAAGCGTTTACTTACATTAATTCTATTATATTTTCTATGAATTGATTAAATGTAATTGTTTTGAAATTTGTGTTCATGAATTTATATCTATAGAAATTTGGGTATTTATAATGAAATGGATGTTTTTGCTGTTACAGACACATTTTATCTATAATCATTTATTAATTAATTAATCTTATGATAGCATAAACATAATTGGCTCTTGTTGTTGTCTTTTCTTTATTTTTGCCTTTTATCAGGACTTCATAATGATAATAAGCAAGGAAAAATTATAATAATTAATATAATTATAGTAATAATTTATCATAATTATAATGTATATTTTTTATCACATTAATTTTATGGCAAAAAAGATCTTTTTATATATGATGATGAAGTTCATATGTTTTTATGACGTGTTGGTTTTCATGCTTCCAACTAGTATTCTAGATTTCAGTTGTTAAGTAGTTTATTTATAACAAATTATAGAAAATAATTGAATAGTCTGATATATAAAATATAATTATCTCATTCCTTATTGAACTTGAAATGAGACATTTCTTATCACTGATTTTTGTCATAGATTCTGCTAGTAGTAAAGAAATGGTTATTTTGTTTCTTTTTCCTATCTGCTGTAATAAATTCTATCTTATATTGTGTCAAAGGGTAAACAATATAAAATCACTTTACTATTACTATTAAAGGTGTGGAATATTTTCTAGAAAAACTTATTGAATAACCTCCCGATATACAACATTTCATGTTTTATTATCAGGAGCATAAATGAACAGATTTGCAGCTACTAACACATGAGCACACTACATAGAGTTGGCCATGTGAAAAGCAACTGCATCCCAACTCTTGGGCTTTGGCCTTGAGACTTTTTAATGGTCATTGCAAAGCATAGACCAACTGGAAATTGTAGGCATTTACATTTAAATGGGTAGTTTGTCGGGGTTAATGGTATGCTATTAAATGATATATCTGTGCCTTCAATTTTGAATGTTGGCATGAAATTTCTTTCAAGTATTTCAGTGGCACCAAAACTTGCCATTTGTGCTTTAAAAACCCTATTGTGCTTTAAAAAATGTTTATTGTCAGGATGAATCCCATTTAATAGTGATAGAAAAAGTTTGGGAGCAAGTACAACAACCAGTTTAACTTTGCCAGAAGAACAGCAAATCCCCTGTGATTCATTCTTTCACTTCAGATCACTGCAATACCCAAATACTTTATCTATAGACCCAATATTAGCTGATGATGAATAGGCTAAGAGTGTCATAAATGAAAGTACTTCAGAGTTTTTTGCACCAAGGATTTGTCATTTTTGATAAGCATAATCTTCGCTCACACAAATAAATAAATCTCATGCAAATACAGCTGGGCCTAATGAATCACAAACACAATATGTAACGATTTGAAAACCCGCCATATGTTGATGTACTGCCATCTAGCATGATGACATCACTTTTTTTAATTTTTCAAAGATTTTGCTAATTAACTAATTATAATTTAATGTCAGTTCTTTAAATATAATAGTAAACTTCAATAATACACTTTTCTTAGAGATAATGCCTTGACAGAAAATAATTTGTGTGTCACCATCTAGTGAAGAGAGAGACAAATAGACAGACAGAAATCCATTGCAGCTTTATTTAATTAATAAAAAAAATCTGTAGGTTTGATCAGTGGTAAACATTCTGGGGATCAAAAAGATGCTACAGTTAAAATTTGGTAATGATTGGTTCAGTAGTTTTTGCAGTTAGTTGGAACAAAAGAAAAATATGTTGTCTCTTTATATAGTAGTATAGATATTCTCTGTGTTTATTTTTATATTATATTCTCTGTGTTTATAATTTCAAATTTATTTGTAACAGGTGATTTAAATATTCTAAACTCTAGTAGCTTTTTTTTATTTTAATATTTTCAGATAATTATTTTGTTCTGAATATGGGTTATTCTGCATCTGGATTTTTATTTCCAAATTAATAACAATTTTATTTATCTGAAAACTCTCTAATATTGCATGCAAATTATTACATAAATTATTGTTAGTTGTCATGAAAAATGTTATTTAAGATTATATAGATTAAAGTATATATTAATTTATTTATAGATTTTTTAAGCATTACCTGATAATAGGTAATACTTAAGAATCATCATCATTCAATTGAGATCAATTCTTGGTCAATCTATCAGTCAACCTCCTCCATTTGGTCCTGTCAATCACATTTTCTTTCCTGTTCTCAATGTTTATTAGTATTCAACCTTATGGTGTCCAACCAACAAGTTTGTGGTTTCTCCTATGTCCATTGATCTTTTCTATCAAAATATGCTCCTCAAATGAGTTACTGTGCATGATAATGTCAAAACAAGACCATTTCTGCCTAGTGATTTTGGCTTCTAGTGAAGACTTAGGCTTTATTTGGTCTTAAACTTTTTTGTTGGTAATATGTGTTGTTCATAGATTCACAGTAATCATCTCCAGCATCAAAGTTCAAAGGTATCAGTCTTTCTTTTGTCCACCTTCTTAATTGTCCATGTTTCATAGCCATAGGTAGCAATGGGAAAGACAATTGCATTGACTAACTGGGCTTTAGTTAAAATGCTAATGTCTTTATTTTTCAGATGAAATTCATGCTCAGTATTGCATTCTGTCCAAGAGCTAATTGTCTTTTAATATCAGGTGTTGTATCACCATTTCTGTCAATCTTAGAGCTAAGGAAGACAAAATCTGGATTGTCTCAATTTCTTTATCATCAGTCTTTTTACTGCACCTTCCACTCTTAGAAGTTGTCATCATATTACTTTTCTTGATATTGAGGTGTAACTCCATCTTCTCATTTTTTCTTTAACTTTCCAAACAAGTTGTTCCAAATGTTTTTTTGCTTTCAGCAAGTCAGATAGTATCATCAGCATATCTAGGATTATTGATGTATCTGCCCTCAATCTTTATTCCAATTTTGGTGTCATCTGGTACAGCCTTTCTGATAATTGCTTCAGCATACAGGTTAAAAAATGATGGTGTTAAAATACAGCCTTGTCTCATCATCCTGATTTTTAAAGCATTCTGTTGATTTTAAAGCATTCATAGTTTTCACTGTAGCTTCCTGATCCATACATATAGCTTCTTGATTTAATGAACTGAACAGAAATTTCCATTTCTAGGAGACAGAGCCACAATACAATCAAAAGCTTTCATATAACAATAAAACACACACAGAGGTTTTTCTGATGTTCATGTGCTTTTTCCATAATCCACCTGAGATTGGCAATATGGTCTAGTGCCCCTTCCCTTCTGAAAACCTACCTGCACATCTGGCATTTATATTGATAGTGGATTTCAATCATTGTAGAATAATTTTCAGAAGAATCAAGTCAAAGAATATCAATCTTGAAGCAGTTTATTTCATTTTTAATAACATCAAGTTTGCTCATGCAAAGTCTGCAAATATTCCACATTCCAGTTTTTATAAACTTTTGTGAAATAGTCTTTTAACCATGGGCTTCATCAGCTGGCAAGTGTCCAGAAGAATTTGACCCATGCATGTCATCACTGCCTAGGCTACTCAGTCCAGTCCTTTGCTCTTCCCTATATCCTGTTGAGTATGATCCAATCTGGAGCTCCCATTGGTCAACATTATAATTAAATCTTTATGTTGCTCCATATAATTTTGTGGCAAAACACCGAAGTAGGTTGGTAGATCTTTTTTCAGACCAAAGCTGTTTGGCCTGCTCAGGAATTCTCCAAAGTGGTTCACCTCTTCACCATGATGAGGTATAATTGGACTTTGAAGGGGTTAAATTAAGAATAATATATATGAACAAATCGTTTCTTAAATATATGCATATGTTTATTTGTATTTGGATATTTAAATAAATATATTATTATGTTAAATTTATTTTAGAAATATATATTGCTTTCTACTGAATATTTTTTACAATGAATAAACTTATAATAAAATTAACTTATATTTTATTTTTTTCAGAATAGAAACATTAAATTGTTCATGAAAATGTTGTACATATTCTTAGTTGATACTGGTCACATGATATCTGTTGATATGAAACTTGCTTTGGAAAGGTAAAATTCTGGTTACATAATTCATTTTTAATTCTGACTGTAACTAATTAATTAATTAATTACTTTGCAATTATGTAATAAAATAATGTTTTAAATAATTGCTTACTAAAATTTCATATAACCCATGTTCTTCCAGTTTTGTGTAACTGGCAGCTAGCCAGGGTTCGCTCTGAAAAATTTTAAAATATCGCCACCATTTCACCAATTCAAAATTTTTTCTCACTTCAAATTATTTACCACCACCAGTTTTACTTACTAATTAATGCAGGTGCTGTTAGCCTTATCAGTTTGGTGTCTGGAAAGCAAAAGTAACATGTTAAACTATCACAAGCAGAGGCCCAGATGTTCAGGTCTCTGATTCGAATGAAACTTTGTTCATGTAGCCTTAAACACAAGCAACTCCTTGTCCAAATAATAGGACCAACTTTTCAAATGTTTTAAAAAATGTGGCATTTGAAAATTTAGTGTTTAGCTTATAAGTCTTTGGAACTTTCTTATCCAAGAGCAGTGATAGTCAAATGAATAGGATGCTAGGCACAATGTAGGTTCAAACTTTTGGAATTTTAGTGTAGGTTTTGTTTATGTGTAACATTGTTTTATTATTTTACTGCATCAATAGCATTATTATTACTATTATTATTATTCCTTGCATTTAAAGATTATAAAACGAGATTAAAAATTGTGACATCATATTTTGTTTACAGAAAACAATCCTCTCTAGATTTAACTCTTACATTGTTAAATTAAATTTTCTTCATATTTATTTTCAGATATGATGATATTGTGACATTTGAAGGGTAATAAACATGAGCACATGAGGAAAATGTCCATAAAGCCAAAACAACCAGTGGATTACATTGGGCTACTTTTCTACGATTATAATTAATTAATTACTGAATAATTTGTCACTAGAGTTAGGCATTAGGTGCCATCTTTTATTAAATTTAATAATTATAATTAAATTAATATTTATTAAATAAATAGCACTTCTTACTTTTCTGCCCAAACTTGCTGTGTGATGCTAGGAAGTTTAACATTTTGCTTTTTTCCTGAAGTTGATTTGCTAGTATTATATTTTTATTGCCAAGTAGCAATTTTGGTGCTATGCAGCATGACCCCTGTAGCTAGCCAATTGAGTTTTCTGCCAGTTACACAAAACTGGCAGATAAAAGGATTTACTTAGAACTATGAAAGCTTTATTGAACTATAAAATATCTTTTATCACAATATTTTTCAAAAAACTATTTCATCTCTTCATAATTTTATTTATTCTGAAATCTGAAAAACAAACTGACTGATTGGTTATCTGCTAGTTTTAATTTAGTTATGAACTCATCAAACAGGTCTTTGTTTGTTTTTTTTATTTTTATTCAGAATGTTATTAGAAAGTATGAAAAAATCCTCTGCATATATAAAACACATTTATCATTATAATTTTTCCAAAACTGTCAGACACACACACACACATAGTACATATTGAGCATCTGTAGTTTCCTGTGGTTCATTTTCTGTTCACATTTAAAGTAATATTATTGAACATATGTACTTTTATCTTAAAATCTGTTAAGTTTCTGGTACCAGAATTCCTTCTCTATACAGTGTTATATTTTCAGAGAACTGTTTAGAAATAAATTTGGGATTTTATCATGTATTATTATGTATTATGAGCTGAATGAATGACTCTTGAATCCAAGTCATTGGATATTATCAATATTAAAATTATTTTCTATTTAATTTTTCTTGGTTAGCACATAGCCCTAAACACAAACAGCTTCATGTCCAAATAATAGGACCAACTTCCCAAGTATTTCTGAAAAACAAACCTCTGCAATTGAGTGTTTAGCTTATGTCTGGAAGCTTGACATCTCCTTGGAACAGCAATGGCTGAGCAGTTAGAGTACTAGTTAATGAAGATAGAAGATTTGGGTTTGATCTTCTGCAACTTTACTTTACTTTCTTTCCTTTTTATTTTTTTTCTATGCATAACGTAATTAATTTATTATTTTACCATATTATTGTGTTGGGTTTAGTGGGTTATACTCGGTACAAACCGGTGGCTGTGTACTATGCCGGACCAGAGTCAAGGCATAGCAATCAAAACAAAACTAAAATTAAATGTGTGTGTCAGTGTCTGTATTAAGGAATTTCCTAACAATATGGCATGTATTCAATATAGTGGCCTTCTGTAGTGTGATGTATGTATTTCTACTCAATTGTAATGTTCCCAGGCTTTTGTGTAGCGTGNTATTATTATTATTATTGTTGTTGTTGTTGTTGTTGTTGTTCCTCACATCTAAAGCTTATACTTCAAATATGACAATATCAGATATGAAAATAAATATGAAGAAATAAATACTTCATCTAATGAATAGAGTTAAATCTACAGAGACTTTGTTTTTGTTAAACAGGAAAAAATGATGTCACAATTTTTAATCTCTTGTTTATCTTGTTTATTTAATTTTTAATCTTTTCTTATTACTATTATCATTCGTCAAGTTAAAAGCTTATAAAACTAAACTTTTAACTTTAGGAATAATAATAGTAATAAAAATCTTACAGTAAAATAATGATAATATAATCATTTTATTATGTGTATAAAAGAGGAAAAAAACTGAGCTTGCAAAGTTTTGAACCCATATCCTTTAGCTTTATTCCCTATTATCCACCCAGCTATCGATGTTTGAAGATGTGCAACTTCCAGAGATATAAGCTAAACAGTCAATTTTCAGAGGCTTGTTTTTTGGAAATGCTTGAGAAGTTGGTCCTATTATTTGGACATGTTGTTCAAATTGGAGACTTGAACATCTGGCCTTCTTCTTGTAAGTTTTGTCAAATTCAAGATATAATTTTATAATAATTCAATTTCAAGTCACTTACATTTAAGAAATAATGCTATGATCCAGCTTAAAATAAATAAAGTACACTGCAATACATTTTAAAATCTTACTTTATTTTTCCAATTATAGGAATATTATAATAACAGTGTAAAGTGGGTTAAAACTGCTTAGCATGTTTGTACTATGTGCAGAAGAATATTTGTAAGTGTTGTTGTTTGAATTATAATGTCATTGAAGAAGGAAGTTATTAGCCATACAGAAAAGGGTCTATGCTCTGAAACATATATATGACCATTACTTAAAAAATAATATAGCTGTTTTTTATGACTAAAAGAATGTATGCTATAAAATAAACAGTGGATTTAGTGTAGCAAACAAATGTCTTTATATTGGTTTCTCAAACTTAATTTATCTAAAGTAACACTTGATGGCTTTATAAAAGAGCTTGTCAGAAAAAATGTGTGTACACATATGTAAATGTTATAAAATATAAGAGAAAATAGTGATATATAATTCATTAAAAATCTAAAAATAAATTGCATCATGATAAACTTTAAAAGAAATAATACTTTGTACAAGAAATTTGAATTGTTAAAGTTCCTGAATATAAAATTATTACAGCAAGATATCATTATGCAATTTGAAATTACACTATAGATAAAAGTAATTTTGTAAATTTGTAAATTGTTATAAAAATTTTTTCAAGTAAATTTTGAAAGTATTAATATATTATGATTATGCTAATAATTATTATGTATTTCATTACAGTGTTGGTCAATTAAAATCTGAAATAGCTAAACATCATGGAATACCTGAAGATAAACAGGTATTATTGATCAGTGGTGGAGAAAGTCTAAATCCAAATGATCGAGTGTGTAGCTATAGTGCAGGCACTGATACAAATCCTATATTCTTATTTAGTAAAAGTGCTATAGAGTCAGCTGAACCACCATATCCTTGTGTAGATTATGGTGATGGTATGTATTAAATAAATTAATTTTGTCATTTACTGTTATTATTTAAGTTGTTATTGAAAGAACATTGGTAATAAAATATATATATTTTTTTCTTATGGTATGAAATTTAAAAAATTAATAAATAAAATTTCTACTTTTTCAAGCTTGATAGACATATATTTCTATATATATAATTTATAAATCATACATATAAAAATTATCACATAACAGTTGTTACACCAATAAACTAAATAAACTATTTTTTTCTTTCAAAGTTTAATATTTCCTATTTCTTCCTGATATCTGGAAACAGATATCAGGAAGAAATAGGAAATATTAAACTTTGTTACTCTCTTATATAACTTTAAACATGTTCCTCATTAGTACTTAATTATCTGCTGATCTAAAAACTTTTTAGACTTCTCTGCATGCAGACATTGATACAAAAAATAAAGGTTTATTAAGATCTAGAGGGGAGAACAGTGACACTACTGTGAATTTAAATACCTGAGAAATATTTGAGAATAAATTGAGGAAAGATCTTATATGATTTCTACTTAGTAAATAACAGATGATAATAGTTCTGTCAAATTATCAATAAAATTAAAGAGATTGCTTTAAGTCAGTTTTATCAAGATTGATTTATTTTATGTCAGCCTACATTTAGAGAGAAGATGCATCATTTAGATAGTAGCTTTGTATGAGATGCAAACCTCTGTAGTGTAGTGTGAGCAAATTATCATTATTGTTTATTTTCAAGTATAATTCCCAACACACAGTATATTCAATCTACCAGTTTCAATATAATATAGCATTATAAATGCTCACAACTGATGTATTTATTTCATTAACATTATTACAGTGTAAATTATCATTGTGGTTATGATTGCATTGTAGTTGTTACATCAAAATTTTATTTTATTTAGCAGTATCTCTGTGTGCTATTTTATCTTTGTTTTATTTGAAATATAATTGTACTATGGAAGATCTAAGAAAATCTTAAGTTTTCTTAGGATGTATTTTATTCCAGTCACTAAGCTTTTATAAAAAGCATACCATATCCAGTCACTATGCTTTTTATAAAAGCTTAGTGACTGGAATAAAATACAGTAGAGCATCGTTTATCTGAAGGTTGGTTATC